GGGGAAAACAAGGGAGGGCAGAGGGGGGGCAGGAGGGAAGAAACGTGGGGCAGGGAGGGGAGAAGCCAAAGACAGGGGCATGGGCAGGCGGGGGCAGGGAGGGAGCAAAGGAGAGGCACGGAGAAAGAAAGGGAGGCGCGGGGAGGGGAGAAACCGGGCGTGGGGGGGCGGAAAATGAGGGGCAGGGCGGGGAGGAGGGAGGGGCAGGGAGGGGAGAAGCTGAGCACACGGAGGGGGGAAAGGTGGGGCAGGGAGGTAGGAAGCCAAGGGCAAGGGGGGGAGAGTGGGGGAGCAGGGAGAGGGGGGAGGTGGGGAGCGGAGAAAGGCGGCGAGTGGGGGCAGGGAGGGAGAAAACCAAGCATAGGGGGGCGAGATACGAGGGCAGGGTGCGGATTGAGGAGCGGGCAGGGAGTGGAGTGTGGTCGGCGGAGGGGAAGGAAGAGGCGTGCAAGCAGAGGAGGGGAGGGGGAGGAGAAGGTAAACGAGGGGAGCGCACGGGCGGGGAGGAGCGAATGGCGGGCGGTGGGAAACGGCGAGGGGGGCAGAGGAGGGTAAAAAAAGGCGGCAAGGGAGCGGGCACGCGGAGGGTGGGGGCAGGGGGGAGCGGATGGCATGAGTGGGGCAGGGGGTGTGACTATGAAGGGGGGACCTAGGGCACGGGGTGTGTACCGGTCGGGGCACGGGATTGACGTGGTACGATCATACCTCGGCTACTACGCCGGATCCCATCAGAACTCCGAAGCTAAGCGCCGGTGGGCGAGAGCAGTACTGGGCTGGGTGACCTCCCGGGAAGTCCTCGTGTTGTACCCATTTATGCCCCTTGCTCGGCACGTGCCGGGGGAGGGGCAAGCGGGAAAAAGAAGGACGATTTTAGCGCGTCCGATTTTTTTATTTTCGTTTTTTTTGCCCAAACAACGACTCAGCGGGGTGGGGCCCCCCCGGGGAGGCTTGCCCGGTGCGAAGAAACGCCCCGTGCGCACCACCGTTGGGCGGTTGGAAGCCGCACACGGTCGCGGGGGTTGGAGAGCGGAACGGGCAGCCGGGGGAGGGTGGGGGCGGTTGGATGGGACTGGGGTGTACGGGGGCAGGGGGAGTTGAGGGGGCAAGGGGAGGGGCAGCAACGGGCAGGTGCTGGGCCAGCTGAGGGCACGGAAAAGGGGGCGGGCAGAGGGTGAGCAGAGGGGCGAGCGATGCAAGGAGGCACCATAGGGGGGAAACCAGTTGCACGGAGGTGGGAGGTGAGGGGCGTGCGAGGGGGTGGGAAAGGGGCAGGGAGGGGCGGAATGGGAGGACGTGGGTGGGGGGTGGGGGAGGGGAGTGTGCGTGTGTGTGTGAGAAAGAGAGAGAGAGAGAGAGAGAGAGAGAGAGAGAGAGGGAAAGGGAGGGGGGGAGAGAAGGGTGGGAGGGGGGCTGGTGGTGCGGATGGGCTGATGGTGGCAAGAGGGCAGCAGGGATGGGGAGAAGGGAGCGTAATGAGGGGAACGCAAAGGGCAGGGGGGGAGGAGGGGAGGGGCAGGGAGGGAAGAGGCTGAACGTACAAAGGGGGGAAACGAGGGGCATGGATGGTAGGAAACAAGGGCAGGGGTGCGGGAAATCAAGGGCAGGGAGGGGAGAAGCAATGGGTGAGGGGAAAACAAGGGAGGGGCAGAGGGGGGGCAGGGAGAGAAGAAACGTGGGGCAGGGAGGGGAGAAGCCAAAGACAGGGGCATGGGCAGGCGGGGGCAGGGAGGGAGCAAAGGAGAGGCACGGAGAAAGAAAGGGAGGCGCGGGGAGGGGAGAAACCGGCGTGGGGGGGCGGAAAATGAGGGGCAGGGCGGGGAGGAGGGAGGGGCAGGGAGGGGAGAAGCTGAGCACACGGAGGGGGGAAAGGTGGGGCAGGGAGGTAGGAAGCCAAGGGCAAGGGGGGGAGAGTGGGGGAGCAGGGAGAGGGGGGAGGTGGGGAGCGGAGAAAGGCGGCGAGGGGCAGGGAGGGGAGAAACCAAGCATAGGGGGGCGAGATACGAGGGGCAGGGTGCGGATTGAGGAGGGGCAGGGAGTGGAAGTGGTCGGCGAGGGGAAGGAAGAGGCGTGCAGCAGAGGAGGGGAGGGGGGAGGAGAAGGTAAACGAGGGGAGCGCACGGGCGGGGAGGAGCGAATGGCGGGCGGTGGGAACGGCGAGGGGGGCAGGGAGGGTCAAAAGAGGCGGCAAGGGAGCGGGCACGCGGAGGGTGGGGGCGGGGGGGGAGCGGATGGCATGAGGAGGCAGGGGGTGTGACTATGAAGGGGGGACCCGGGCAAGGGGTGTGTACCGGTCGGGGCACGGGATTGACGTGGTACGATCATACCTCGGCTACTACGCCGGATCCCATCAGAACTCCGAAGCTAAGCGCCGGTGGGCGAGAGCAGTACTGGGCTGGGTGACCTCCCGGGAAGTCCTCGTGTTGTACCCATTTATGCCCCTTGCTCGGCACGTGCCGGGGGAGGGGCAAGCGGGAAAAAGAAAGGACGATTTTAGCGCGTCCGATTTTTTTATTTTCGTTTTTTTGCCCAAACAACGACTCAGCGGGGTGGGGGCCCCCCGGGGAGGCTTGCCCGTGCGAAGAAACGCCCCGTGCGCACCACCGTTGGGCGGTTGGAAGCCGCACACGGTCGCGGGGGTGGAGAGCGGAAACGGGCAGCCGGGGGAGGGTGGGGGGCGGTTGGATGGGACTGGGGTGTACGGGGGGCAGGGGAGTTGAGGGGGCAAGGGGAGGGGCAGCAACGGCAGGGGCTGGGCCAGCTGAGGGCACGGAAAAGGGGCGGGCAGAGGGTGAGCAGAGGGGCGAGCGATGCAAGGGAGGCACCATAGGGGGGAAACCAGTTGCACGGAGGTGGGAGGTGAGGGGCGTGCGAGGGCGTGGGAAAGGGGCAGGGAGGGGCAGAATGGGAGGATGTGGGTGGGGGGTGGGGGAGGGGAGTGTGCGTGTGTGTGTGAGAAAGAGAGAGAGAGAGAGAGAGAGAGAGAGAGAGAGAGAGGGAAGGGAGGGGGGGAGAGAAGGGTGGGAGGGGGGCTGGTGGTGCGGATGGGCTGATGGTGGCAAGAGGGCAGCAGGGATGGGGAGAAGGGAGCGTAACGAGGGGAACGCAAAGGGCAGGGGGGGAGGAGGGGAGGGGCAGGGAGGGAAGAGGCTGAACGTACAAAGGGGGGAAACGAGGGGCATGGATGGTAGGAAACAAGGGCAGGGGTGCGGGAAATCAAGGGCAGGGAGGGGAGAAGCAATGGGTGAGGGGAAAACAAGGGAGGGGCAGAGGGGGGGCAGGGAGGGAAGAAACGTGGGGCAGGGAGGGGAGAAGCCAAAGACAGGGGCATGGGCAGGCGGGGGCAGGGAGGGAGCAAAGGAGAGGCACGGAGAAAGAAAGGGAGGCGCGGGGAGGGGAGAAACCGGGCGTGGGGGGGCGGAAAATGAGGGGCAGGGCGGGGAGGAGGGAGGGGCAGGGAGGGGAGAAGCTGAGCACACGGAGGGGGGAAAGGTGGGGCAGGGAGGTAGGAAGCCAAGGGCAAGGGGGGGAGAGTGGGGGAGCAGGGAGAGGGGGGAGGTGGGGAGCGGAGAAAGGCGGCGAGGGGCAGGGAGGGGAGAAACCAAGCATAGGGGGGCGAGATACGAGGGGCAGGGTGCGGATTGAGGAGGGGCAGGGAGTGGAGTGGGTCGGCGAGGGGAAGGAAGAGGCGTGCAGCAGAGGAGGGGAGGGGGGAGGAGAAGGTAAACGAGGGGAGCGCACGGGCGGGGAGGAGCGAATGGCGGGCGGTGGGAAACGGCGAGGGGGGCAGGGAGGGTCAAAAGAGGCGGCAAGGGAGCGGGCACGCGGAGGGTGGGGGCGGGGGGGAGCGGATGGCATGAGGAGGCAGGGGGTGTGACTATGAAGGGGGGACCCGGGCAAGGGGTGTGTACCGGTCGGGGCACGGGATTGACGTGGTACGATCATACCTCGGCTCGCCGGATCCCATCAGAACTCCGAAGCTAAGCGCCGGTGGGCGAGAGCAGTACTGGGCTGGGTGACCTCCCGGGAAGTCCTCGTGTTGTACCCATTTATGCCCCTTGCTCGGCACGTGCCGGGGGAGGGGCAAGCGGGAAAAAGAAAGGACGATTTTAGCGCGTCCGTTTTTTTTATTTTCGTTTTTTTGCCCAAACAACGACTCAGCGGGGTGGGGGCCCCCCGGGGAGGCTTGCCCGTGCGAAGAAACGCCCCGTGCGCACCACCGTTGGGCGGTTGGAAGCCGCACACGGTCGCGGGGGTGGAGAGCGGAAACGGGCAGCCGGGGGAGGGTGGGGGCGGTTGGATGGGACTGGGGTGTACGGGGAGCAGGGGAGTTGAGCGGGCAACGGGAGGGGCAGCAACGGGCAGGGGCTGGGCCAGCTGAGGGCACGGAAAAGGGGCGGGCAGAGGGTGAGCAGAGGGGCGAGCGATGCAAGGGAGGCACCATAGGGGGGAAACCAGTTGCACGGAGGTGGGAGGTGAGGGGCGTGCGAGGGGGTGGGAAAGGGGCAGGGAGGGGCGGAATGGGAGGACGTGGGTGGGGGGTGGGGGAGGGGAGTGTGCGTGTGTGTGTGTGAGAAAGAGAGAGAGAGAGAGAGAGAGGGAAAGGGAGGGGGGGAGAGAAGGGTGGGAGGGGGGCTGGTGGTGCGGATGGGCTGATGGTGGCAAGAGGGCAGCAGGGATGGGGAGAAGGGAGCGTAGCGAGGGGAACGCAAAGGGCAGGGGGGGAGGAGGGGAGGGGCAGGGAGGGAAGAGGCTGAACGTACAAAGGGGGGAAACGAGGGGCATGGATGGTAGGAAACAAGGGCAGGGGTGCGGGAAATCAAGGGCAGGGAGGGGAGAAGCAATGGGTGAGGGGAAAACAAGGGAGGGGCAGAGGGGGGGCAGGGAGGGAAGAAACGTGGGGCAGGGAGGGGAGAAGCCAAAGACAGGGGCATGGGCAGGCGGGGGCAGGGAGGGAGCAAAGGAGAGGCACGGAGAAAGAAAGGGAGGCGCGGGGAGGGGAGAAACCGGGCGTGGGGGGGCGGAAAATGAGGGGCAGGGCGGGGAGGAGGGAGGGGCAGGGAGGGGAGAAGCTGAGCACACGGAGGGGGGAAAGGTGGGGCAGGGAGGTAGGAAGCCAAGGGCAAGGGGGGGAGAGTGGGGGAGCAGGGAGAGGGGGGAGGTGGGGAGCGGAGAAAGGCGGCGAGGGGCAGGGAGGGGAGAAACCAAGCATAGGGGGGCGAGATACGAGGGGCAGGGTGCGGATTGAGGAGGGGCAGGGAGTGGAGTGGGTCGGCGAGGGGAAGGAAGAGGCGTGCAGCAGAGGAGGGGAGGGGGGAGGAGAAGGTAAACGAGGGGAGCGCACGGGCGGGGAGGAGCGAATGGCGGGCGGTGGGAAACGGCGAGGGGGGCAGGGAGGGTCAAAAGAGGCGGCAAGGGAGCGGGCACGCGGAGGGTGGGGGCGGGGGGGAGCGGATGGCATGAGGAGGCAGGGGGTGTGACTATGAAGGGGGGACCCGGGCAAGGGGTGTGTACCGGTCGGGGCACGGGATTGACGTGGTACGATCATACCTCGGCTACTACGCCGGATCCCATCAGAGCTCCGAAGCTAAGCGCCGGTGGGCGAGAGCAGTACTGGGCTGGGTGACCTCCCGGGAAGTCCTCGTGTTGTACCCATTTATGCCCCTTGCTCGGCACGTGCCGGGGGAGGGGCAAGCGGGAAAAAGAAAGGACGATTTTAGCGCGTCCGATTTTTTTATTTTCGTTTTTTTGCCCAAACAACGACTCAGCGGGGTGGGGGCCCCCCGGGGAGGCTTGCCCGTGCGAAGAAAACGCCCCGTGCGCACCACCGTTGGGCGGTTGGAAGCCGCACACGGTCGCGGGGGTGGAGAGCGGAAACGGGCAGCCGGGGGAGGGTGGGGGCGGTTGGATGGGACTGGGGTGTACGGGGGGCAGGGGAGTTGAGGGGGCAAGGGGAGGGGCAGCAACGGGCAGGGGCTGGGCCAGCTGAGGGCACGGAAAAGGGGCGGGCAGAGGGTGAGCAGAGGGGCGAGCGATGCAAGGGAGGCACCATAGGGGGGAAACCAGTTGCACGGAGGTGGGAGGTGAGGGGCGTGCGAGGGGGTGGGAAAGGGGCAGGGAGGGGCGGAATGGGAGGACGTGGGTGGGGGGTGGGGGAGGGGAGTGTGCGTGTGTGTGTGAGAAAGAGAGAGAGAGAGAGAGAGAGAGAGAGAGAGAGAGAGAGAGAGAGAGGGAAAGGGGGGGAGAGAAGGGTGGGAGGGGGGCTGGTGGTGCGGATGGGCTGATGGTGGCAAGAGGGCAGCAGGGATGGGGAGAAGGGAGCGTAACGAGGGGAACGCAAAGGGCAGGGGGGGAGGAGGGGAGGGGCAGGGAGGGAAGAGGCTGAACGTACAAAGGGGGGAAACGAGGGGCATGGATGGTAGGAAACAAGGGCAGGGGTGCGGGAAATCAAGGGCAGGGAGGGGAGAAGCAATGGGTGAGGGGAAAACAAGGGAGGGGCAGAGGGGGGGCAGGGAGGGAAGAAACGTGGGGCAGGGAGGGGAGAAGCCAAAGACAGGGGCATGGGCAGGCGGGGGCAGGGAGGGAGCAAAGGAGAGGCACGGAGAAAGAAAGGGAGGCGCGGGGAGGGGAGAAACCGGGCGTGGGGGGGCGGAAAATGAGGGGCAGGGCGGGGAGGAGGGAGGGGCAGGGAGGGGAGAAGCTGAGCACACGGAGGGGGGAAAGGTGGGGCAGGGAGGTAGGAAGCCAAGGGCAAGGGGGGGAGAGTGGGGGAGCAGGGAGAGGGGGGAGGTGGGGAGCGGAGAAAGGCGGCGAGGGGCAGGGAGGGGAGAAACCAAGCATAGGGGGGCGAGATACGAGGGGCAGGGTGCGGATTGAGGAGGGGCAGGGAGTGGAGTGGGTCGGCGAGGGGAAGGAAGAGGCGTGCAGCAGAGGAGGGGAGGGGGGAGGAGAAGGTAAACGAGGGGAGCGCACGGGCGGGGAGGAGCGAATGGCGGGCGGTGGGAAACGGCGAGGGGGGCAGGGAGGGTCAAAAGAGGCGGCAAGGGAGCGGGCACGCGGAGGGTGGGGGCGGGGGGGAGCGGATGGCATGAGGAGGCAGGGGGTGTGACTATGAAGGGGGGACCCGGGCAAGGGGTGTGTACCGGTCGGGGCACGGGATTGACGTGGTACGATCATACCTCGGCTACTACGCCGGATCCCATCAGAGCTCCGAAGCTAAGCGCCGGTGGGCGAGAGCAGTACTGGGCTGGGTGACCTCCCGGGAAGTCCTCGTGTTGTACCCATTTATGCCCCTTGCTCGGCACGTGCCGGGGGAGGGGCAAGCGGGAAAAAGAAAGGACGATTTTAGCGCGTCCGATTTTTTTTTATTTTCGTTTTTTTTGCCCAAACAACGACTCAGCGGGGTGGGGGCCCCCCGGGGAGGCTTGCCCGTGCGAAGAAACGCCCCGTGCGCACCACCGTTGGGCGGTTGGAAGCCGCACACGGTCGCGGGGGTGGAGAGCGGAAACGGGCAGCCGGGGGAGGGTGGGGGCGGTTGGATGGGACTGGGGTGTACGGGGGGCAGGGGAGTTGAGGGGGCAACGGGAGGGGCAGCAACGGGCAGGGGCTGGGCCAGCTGAGGGCACGGAAAAGGGGCGGGCAGAGGGTGAGCAGAGGGGCGAGCGATGCAAGGGAGGCACCATAGGGGGGAAACCAGTTGCACGGAGGTGGGAGGTGAGGGGCGTGCGAGGGGGTGGGAAAGGGGCAGGGAGGGGCGGAATGGGAGGACGTGGGTGGGGGGTGGGGGAGGGGAGTGTGCGTGTGTGTGTGAGAAAGAGAGAGAGAGAGAGAGAGAGAGAGAGAGAGAGAGGGAAAGGGAGGGGGGGAGAGAAGGGTGGGAGGGGGGCTGGTGGTGCGGATGGGCTGATGGTGGCAAGAGGGCAGCAGGGATGGGGAGAAGGGAGCGTAACGAGGGGAACGCAAAGGGCAGGGGGGGAGGAGGGGAGGGGCAGGGAGGGAAGAGGCTGAACGTACAAAGGGGGGAAACGAGGGGCATGGATGGTAGGAAACAAGGGCAGGGGTGCGGGAAATCAAGGGCAGGGAGGGGAGAAGCAATGGGTGAGGGGAAAACAAGGGAGGGGAAGAGGGGGGGCAGGGAGGGAAGAAACGTGGGGCAGGGAGGGGAGAAGCCAAAGACAGGGGCATAGGCAGGCGGGGGCAGGGAGGGAGCAAAGGAGAGGCACGGAGAAAGAAAGGGAGGCGCGGGGAGGGGAGAAAACCGGGCGTGGGGGGGCGGAAAATGAGGGGCAGGGCAGGGAGGAGGGAGGGGCAGGGAGGGGAGAAGCTGAGCACACGGAGGGGGAAAAGGTGGGGCAGGGAGGTAGGAAGCCAAGGGCAAGGGGGGGAGAGTGGAGGGGCAGGGAGAGAGGGGAGGTGGGGAGCGGAGAAAGGCGGCGAGGGGCAGGGAGGGGAGAAACCAAGCATAGGGGGGCGAGATACGAGGGGCAGGGTGCGGATTGAGGAGGGGCAGGGAGTGGAGTGGGTCGGCGAGGGGAAGGAAGAGGCGTGCAGCAGAGGAGGGGAGGGGGGAGGAGAAGGTAAACGAGGGGAGCGCACGGGCGGGGAGGAGCGAATGGCGGGTGGTGGGAAACGGCGAGGGGGGCAGGGAGGGTCAAAAGAGGCGGCAAGGGAGCGGGCACGCGGAGGGTGGGGGCGGGGGGAGCGGATGGCATGAGGGGGCAGGGGGTGTGACTATGAAGGGGGGACCCGGGCAAGGGGTGTGTACCGGTCGGGGCACGGGATTGACGTGGTACGATCATACCTCGGCTACTACGCCGGATCCCATCAGAACTCCGAAGCTAAGCGCCGGTGGGCGAGAGCAGTTATTTATTAATAAGGGAAAGCAAATACAAGCCGATTATAATGGTTTTTCCAAGAGTGGGAAATTTTGGCATAACTAATTCGCTATGAGGACGGTATATATATCTTGTAGGAAGATGGGGAAAGAAAGAAGAAGAAGGAAGAATTAAGGAGTAAGAAGTAGTAGGAAAAAGAAAGGAGTGAGCAACACATATATACCCCGAACAACGACTCAGCGGGGTGGGGGCCCCCCGGGGAGGCTTGCCCGTGCGAAGAAACGCCCCGTGCGCACCACCGTTGGGCAGTTGGAAGCCGCACACGGTCGCGGGGGTGAAGAGCGGAAACGGGCAGCCGGGGGAGGGTGGGGGCGGTTGGATGGGACTGGGGTGTACGGGGAGCAGGGGAGTTGAGCGGGCAACGGGAGGGGCAGCAACGGGCAGGGGCTGGGCCAGCTGAGGGCACGGAAAAGGGGCGGGCAGAGGGTGAGCAGAGGGGCGAGCGATGCAAGGGAGGCACCATAGGGGGGAAACCAGTTGCACGGAGGTGGGAGGTGAGGGGCGTGCGAGGGCGTGGGAAAGGGGCAGGGAGGGGCAGAATGGGAGGATGTGGGTGGGGGGTGGGGGAGGGGAGTGTGCGTGTGTGTGTGAGAAAGAGAGAGAGAGAGAGAGAGAGAGAGAGAGAGAGGGAAAGGGAGGGGGGGAGAGAAGGGTGGGAGGGGGGCTGGTGGTGCGGATGGGCTGATGGTGGCAAGAGGGCAGCAGGGATGGGGAGAAGGGAGCGTAACGAGGGGAACGCAAAGGGCAGGGGGGGAGGAGGGGAGGGGCAGGGAGGGAAGAGGCTGAACGTACAAAGGGGGGAAACGAGGGGCATGGATGGTAGGAAACAAGGGCAGGGGTGCGGGAAATCAAGGGCAGGGAGGGGAGAAGCAATGGGTGAGGGGAAAACAAGGGAGGGGCAGAGGGGGGGCAGGGAGGGAAGAAACGTGGGGCAGGGAGGGGAGAAGCCAAAGACAGGGGCATGGGCAGGCGGGGGCAGGGAGGGAGCAAAGGAGAGGCACGGAGAAAGAAAGGGAGGCGCGGGGAGGGGAGAAACCGGGCGTGGGGGGGCGGAAAATGAGGGGCAGGGCGGGGAGGAGGGAGGGGCAGGGAGGGGAGAAGCTGAGCACACGGAGGGGGGAAAGGTGGGGCAGGGAGGTAGGAAGCCAAGGGCAAGGGGGGGAGAGTGGGGGAGCAGGGAGAGGGGGGAGGTGGGGAGCGGAGAAAGGCGGCGAGGGGCAGGGAGGGGAGAAACCAAGCATAGGGGGGCGAGATACGAGGGGCAGGGTGCGGATTGAGGAGGGGCAGGGAGTGGAGTGGGTCGGCGAGGGGAAGGAAGAGGCGTGCAGCAGAGGAGGGGAGGGGGGAGGAGAAGGTAAACGAGGGGAGCGCACGGGCGGGGAGGAGCGAATGGCGGGCGGTGGGAAACGGCGAGGGGGGCAGGGAGGGTCAAAAGAGGCGGCAAGGGAGCGGGCACGCGGAGGGTGGGGGCGGGGGGGAGCGGATGGCATGAGGAGGCAGGGGGTGTGACTATGAAGGGGGGACCCGGGCAAGGGGTGTGTACCGGTCGGGGCACGGGATTGACGTGGTACGATCATACCTCGGCTACTACGCCGGATCCCATCAGAACTCCGAAGCTAAGCGCCGGTGGGCGAGAGCAGTACTGGGCTGGGTGACCTCCCGGGAAGTCCTCGTGTTGTACCCATTTATGCCCCTTGCTCGGCACGTGCCGGGGGAGGGGCAAGCGGGAAAAAGAAAGGACGATTTTAGTGCGTCCGATTTTTTTATTTTCGTTTTTTTTGCCCAAACAACGACTCAGCGGGGTGGGGGCCCCCCGGGGAGGCTTGCCCGTGCGAAGAAACGCCCCGTGCGCACCACCGTTGGGCGGTTGGAAGCCGCACACGGTCGCGGGGGTGGAGAGCGGAAACGGGCAGCCGGGGGAGGGTGGGGGCGGTTGGATGGGACTGGGGTGTACGGGGGGCAGGGGAGTTGAGGGGGCAAGGGGAGGGGCAGCAACGGGCAGGGGCTGGGCCAGCTGAGGGCACGGAAAAGGGGCGGGCAGAGGGTGAGCAGAGGGGCGAGCGATGCAAGGGAGGCACCATAGGGGGGAAACCAGTTGCACGGAGGTGGGAGGTGAGGGGCGTGCGAGGGGGTGGGAAAGGGGCAGGGAGGGGCGGAATGGGAGGACGTGGGTGGGGGGTGGGGGAGGGGAGTGTGCGTGTGTGTGTGAGAAAGAGAGAGAGAGAGAGAGAGGGAAAGGGAGGGGGGGAGAGAAGGGTGGGAGGGGGGCTGGTGGTGCGGATGGGCTGATGGTGGCAAGAGGGCAGCAGGGATGGGGAGAAGGGAGCATAACGAGGGGAACGCAAAGGGCAGGGGGGGAGGAGGGGAGGGGCAGGGAGGGAAGAGGCTGAACGTACAAAGGGGGGAAACGAGGGGCATGGATGGTAGGAAACAAGGGCAGGGGTGCGGGAAATCAAGGGCAGGGAGGGGAGAAGCAATGGGTGAGGGGAAAACAAGGGAGGGGCAGAGGGGGGGCAGGGAGGGAAGAAACGTGGGGCAGGGAGGGGAGAAGCCAAAGACAGGGGCATGGGCAGGCGGGGGCAGGGAGGGAGCAAAGGAGAGGCACGGAGAAAGAAAGGGAGGCGCGGGGAGGGGAGAAACCGGGCGTGGGGGGGCGGAAAATGAGGGGCAGGGCGGGGAGGAGGGAGGGGCAGGGAGGGGAGAAGCTGAGCACACGGAGGGGGGAAAGGTGGGGCAGGGAGGTAGGAAGCCAAGGGCAAGGGGGGGAGAGTGGGGGGGCAGGGAGAGGGGGGAGGTGGGGAGCGGAGAAAGGCGGCGAGGGGCAGGGAGGGGAGAAACCAAGCATAGGGGGGCGAGATACGAGGGGCAGGGTGCGGATTGAGGAGGGGCAGGGAGTGGAGTGGGTCGGCGAGGGGAAGGAAGAGGCGTGCAGCAGAGGAGGGGAGGGGGGAGGAGAAGGTAAACGAGGGGAGCGCACGGGCGGGGAGGAGCGAATGGCGGGCGGTGGGAAACGGCGAGGGGGGCAGGGAGGGTAAAAAAAGGCGGCAAGGGAGCGGGCACGCGGAGGGTGGGGGCGGGGGGAGCGGATGGCATGAGGGGGCAGGGGGTGTGACTATGAAGGGGGGACCCGGGCACGGGGTGTGTACCGGTCGGGGCACGGGATTGACGTGGTACGATCATACCTCGGCTACTACGCCGGATCCCATCAGAACTCCGAAGCTAAGCGCCGGTGGGCGAGAGCAGTACTGGGCTGGGTGACCTCCCGGGAAGTCCTCGTGTTGTACCCATTTATGCCCCTTGCTCGGCACGTGCCGGGGGAGGGGCAAGCGGGAAAAAGAAAGGACGATTTTAGCGCGTCCGATTTTTTTATTTTCGTTTTTTTGCCCAAACAACGACTCAGCGGGGTGGGGGCCCCCCGGGGAGGCTTGCCCGTGCGAAGAAACGCCCCGTGCGCACCACCGTTGGGCGGTTGGAAGCCGCACACGGTCGCGGGGGTGGAGAGCGGAAACGGGCAGCCGGGGGAGGGTGGGGGCGGTTGGATGGGACTGGGGTGTACGGGGGGCAGGGGAGTTGAGGGGGCAAGGGGAGGGGCAGCAACGGGCAGGGGCTGGGCCAGCTGAGGGCACGGAAAAGGGGCGGGCAGAGGGTGAGCAGAGGGGCGAGCGATGCAAGGGAGGCACCATAGGGGGGAAACCAGTTGCACGGAGGTGGGAGGTGAGGGGCGTGCGAGGGGGTGGGAAAGGGGCAGGGAGGGGCGGAATGGGAGGACGTGGGTGGGGGGTGGGGGAGGGGAGTGTGCGTGTGTGTGTGAGAAAGAGAGAGAGAGAGAGAGAGAGAGAGAGAGAGAGGGAAAGGGAGGGGGGGAGAGAAGGGTGGGAGGGGGGCTGGTGGTGCGGATGGGCTGATGGTGGCAAGAGGGCAGCAGGGATGGGGAGAAGGGAGCGTAACTGAGGGGAACGCAAAGGGCAGGGGGGGAGGAGGGGAGGGGCAGGGAGGGAAGAGGCTGAACGTACAAAGGGGGGAAACGAGGGGCATGGATGGTAGGAAACAAGGGCAGGGGTGCGGGAAATCAAGGGCAGGGAGGGGAGAAGCAATGGGTGAGGGGAAAACAAGGGAGGGGCAGAGGGGGGGCAGGGAGAGAAGAAACGTGGGGCAGGGAGGGGAGAAGCCAAAGACAGGGGCATGGGCAGGCGGGGGCAGGGAGGGAGCAAAGGAGAGGCACGGAGAAAGAAAGGGAGGCGCGGGGAGGGGAGAAACCGGGCGTGGGGGGGCGGAAAATGAGGGGCAGGGCGGGGAGGAGGGAGGGGCAGGGAGGGGAGAAGCTGAGCACACGGAGGGGGGAAAGGTGGGGCAGGGAGGTAGGAAGCCAAGGGCAAGGGGGGGAGAGTGGGGGAGCAGGGAGAGGGGGGAGGTGGGGAGCGGAGAAAGGCGGCGAGGGGCAGGGAGGGGAGAAACCAAGCATAGGGGGGCGAGATACGAGGGGCAGGGTGCGGATTGAGGAGGGGCAGGGAGTGGAATGGGTCGGCGAGGGGAAGGAAGAGGCGTGCAGCAGAGGAGGGGAGGGGGGAGGAGAAGGTAAACGAGGGGAGCGCACGGGCGGGGAGGAGCGAATGGCGGGCGGTGGGAAACGGCGAGGGGGGCAGGGAGGGTCAAAAGAGGCGGCAAGGGAGCGGGCACGCGGAGGGTGGGGGCGGGGGGGAGCGGATGGCATGAGGAGGCAGGGGGTGTGACTATGAAGGGGGGACCCGGGCAAGGGGTGTGTACCGGTCGGGGCACGGGATTGACGCGGTACGATCATACCTCGGCTACTACGCCGGATCCCATCAGAACTCCGAAGCTAAGCGCCGGTGGGCGAGAGCAGTACTGGGCTGGGTGACCTCCCGGGAAGTCCTCGTGTTGTACCCATTTATGCCCCTTGCTCGGCACGTGCCGGGGGAGGGGCAAGCGGGAAAAAGAAAGGACGATTTTAGCGCGTCCGATTTTTTTATTTTCGTTTTTTTGCCCAAACAACGACTCAGCGGGGTGGGGGCCCCCCGGGGAGGCTTGCCCGTGCGAAGAAACGCCCCGTGCGCACCACCGTTGGGCGGTTGGAAGCCGCACACGGTCGCGGGGGTGGAGAGCGGAAACGGGCAGCCGGGGGAGGGTGGGGGCGGTTGGATGGGACTGGGGTGTACGGGGGGCAGGGGAGTTGAGGGGGCAAGGGGAGGGGCAGCAACGGGCAGGGGCTGGGCCAGCTGAGGGCACGGAAAAGGGGCGGGCAGAGGGTGAGCAGAGGGGCGAGCGATGCAAGGGAGGCACCATAGGGGGGAAACCAGTTGCACGGAGGTGGGAGGTGAGGGGCGTGCGAGGGCGTGGGAAAGGGGCAGGGAGGGGCAGAATGGGAGGATGTGGGTGGGGGGTGGGGGAGGGGAGTGTGCGTGTGTGTGTGAGAAAGAGAGAGAGAGAGAGAGAGAGAGAGAGAGAGAGGGAAAGGGAGGGGGGGAGAGAAGGGTGGGAGGGGGGCTGGTGGTGCGGATGGGCTGATGGTGGCAAGAGGGCAGCAGGGATGGGGAGAAGGGAGCGTAACGAGGGGAACGCAAAGGGCAGGGGGGGAGGAGGGGAGGGGCAGGGAGGGAAGAGGCTGAACGTACAAAGGGGGGAAACGAGGGGCATGGATGGTAGGAAACAAGGGCAGGGGTGCGGGAAATCAAGGGCAGGGAGGGGAGAAGCAATGGGTGAGGGGAAAACAAGGGAGGGGCAGAGGGGGGGCAGGGAGGGAAGAAACGTGGGGCAGGGAGGGGAGAAGCCAAAGACAGGGGCATGGGCAGGCGGGGGCAGGGAGGGAGCAAAGGAGAGGCACGGAGAAAGAAAGGGAGGCGCGGGGAGGGGAGAAACCGGGCGTGGGGGGGCGGAAAATGAGGGGCAGGGCGGGGAGGAGGGAGGGGCAGGGAGGGGAGAAGCTGAGCACACGGAGGGGGGAAAGGTGGGGCAGGGAGGTAGGAAGCCAAGGGCAAGGGGGGGAGAGTGGGGGAGCAGGGAGAGGGGGGAGGTGGGGAGCGGAGAAAGGCGGCGAGGGGCAGGGAGGGGAGAAACCAAGCATAGGGGGGCGAGATACGAGGGGCAGGGTGCGGATTGAGGAGGGGCAGGGAGTGGAGTGGGTCGGCGAGGGGAAGGAAGAGGCGTGCAGCAGAGGAGGGGAGGGGGGAGGAGAAGGTAAACGAGGGGAGCGCACGGGCGGGGAGGAGCGAATGGCGGGCGGTGGGAAACGGCGAGGGGGGCAGGGAGGGTCAAAAGAGGCGGCAAGGGAGCGGGCACGCGGAGGGTGGGGGCGGGGGGGAGCGGATGGCATGAGGAGGCAGGGGGTGTGACTATGAAGGGGGGACCCGGGCAAGGGGTGTGTACCGGTCGGGGCACGGGATTGACGTGGTACGATCATACCTCGGCTACTACGCCGGATCCCATCAGAACTCCGAAGCTAAGCGCCGGTGGGCGAGAGCAGTACTGGGCTGGGTGACCTCCCGGGAAGTCCTCGTGTTGTACCCATTTATGCCCCTTGCTCGGCACGTGCCGGGGGAGGGGCAAGCGGGAAAAAGAAAGGACGATTTTAGCGCGTCCGATTTTTTTTATTTTCGTTTTTTTGCCCAAACAACGACTCAGCGGGGTGGGGGCCCCCCGGGGAGGCTTGCCCGTGCGAAGAAACGCCCCGTGCGCACCACCGTTGGGCGGTTGGAAGCCGCACACGGTCGCGGGGGTGGAGAGCGGAAACGGGCAGCCGGGGGAGGGTGGGGGCGGTTGGATGGGACTGGGGTGTACGGGGGGCAGGGGAGTTGAGGGGGCAAGGGGAGGGGCAGCAACGGGCAGGGGCTGGGCCAGCTGAGGGCACGGAAAAGGGGCGGGCAGAGGGTGAGCAGAGGGGCGAGCGATGCAAGGGAGGCACCATAGGGGGGAAACCAGTTGCACGGAGGTGGGAGGTGAGGGGCGTGCGAGGGGGTGGGAAAGGGGCAGGGAGGGGCGGAATGGGAGGACGTGGGTGGGGGGTGGGGGAGGGGAGTGTGCGTGTGTGTGTGAGAAAGAGAGAGAGAGAGAGAGAGAGAGAGAGAGAGAGAGAGAGAGAGAGAGAGAGGGAGGGGGGGAGAGAAGGGTGGGAGGGGGGCTGGTGGTGCGGATGGGCTGATGGTGGCAAGAGGGCAGCAGGGATGGGGAGAAGGGAGCGTAACGAGGGGAACGCAAAGGGCAGGGGGGGAGGAGGGGAGGGGCAGGGAGGGAAGAGGCTGAACGTACAAAGGGGGGAAACGAGGGGCATGGATGGTAGGAAACAAGGGCAGGGGTGCGGGAAATCAAGGGCAGGGAGGGGAGAAGCAATGGGTGAGGGGAAAACAAGGGAGGGGCAGAGGGGGGGCAGGGAGGGAAGAAACGTGGGGCAGGGAGGGGAGAAGCCAAAGACAGGGGCATGGGCAGGCGGGGGCAGGGAGGGAGCAAAGGAGAGGCACGGAGAAAGAAAGGGAGGCGCGGGGAGGGGAGAAACCGGGCGTGGGGGGGCGGAAAATGAGGGGCAGGGCGGGGAGGAGGGAGGGGCAGGGAGGGGAGAAGCTGAGCACACGGAGGGGGGAAAGGTGGGGCAGGGAGGTAGGAAGCCAAGGGCAAGGGGGGGAGAGTGGGGGAGCAGGGAGAGGGGGGAGGTGGGGAGCGGAGAAAGGCGGCGAGGGGCAGGGAGAGGAGAAACCAAGCATAGGGGGGCGAGATACGAGGGGCAGGGTGCGGATTGAGGAGGGGCAGGGAGTGGAGTGGGTCGGCGAGGGGAAGGAAGAGGCGTGCAGCAGAGGAGGGGAGGGGGGAGGAGAAGGTAAACGAGGGGAGCGCACGGGCGGGGAGGAGCGAATGGCGGGCGGTGGGAAACGGCGAGGGGGGCAGGGAGGGTCAAAAGAGGCGGCAAGGGAGCGGACACGCGGAGGGTGGGGGCGGGGGGAGCGGATGGCATGAGGGGGCAGGGGGTGTGACTATGAAGGGGGGACCCGGGCAAGGGGTGTGTACCGGTCGGGGCACGGGATTGACGTGGTACGATCATACCTCGGCTACTACGCCAAATCCCATCAGAACTCCGAAGCTAAGCGCCGGTGGGCGAGAGCAGTACTAGGCTGGGTGACCTCCCGGGAAGTCCTCGTGTTGTACCCATTTAAGCCCCTTGCTCGGCACGTGCCGGGGGAGGGGCAAGCGGGAAAAAGAAAGGACGATTTTAGCGCGTCCGATTTTTTTTTTTTTTTTCGTTTCTTTGCCCAAACAACGACTCAGCGGGGTGGGGGCCCCCCGGGGAGGCTTGCCCGTGCGAAGAAACGCCCCGTGCGCACCACCGTTGGGCGGTTGGAAGCCGCACACGGTCGCGGGGGTGGAGAGCGGAAACGGGCAGCCGGGGGAGGGTGGGGGCGGTTGGATGGGACTGGGGTGTACGGGGGGCAGGGGAGTTGAGGGGGCAAGGGGAGGGGCAGCAACGGGCAGGGGCTGGGCCAGCTGAGGGCACGGAAAAGGGGCGGGCAGAGGGTGAGCAGAGGGGCGAGCGATGCAAGGGAGGCACCATAGGGGGGAAACCAGTTGCACGGAGGTGGGAGGTGAGGGGCGTGCGAGGGGGTGGGAAAGGGGCAGGGAGGGGCGGAATGGGAGGACGTGGGTGGGGGGTGGGGGAGGGGAGTGTGCGTGTGTGTGTGAGAAAGAGAGAGAGAGAGAGAGAGAGAGAGAGAGAGAGAGAGGGAAAGGGAGGGGGGGAGAGAAGGGTGGGAGGGGGGCTGGTGGTGCGGATGGGCTGATGGTGGCAAGAGGGCAGCAGGGATGGGGAGAAGGGAGCGTAACGAGGGGAACGCAAAGGGCAGGGGGGGAGGAGGGGAGGGGCAGGGAGGGAAGAGGCTGAACGTACAAAGGGGGGAAACGAGGGGCATGGATGGTAGGAAACAAGGGCAGGGGTGCGGGAAATCAAGGGCAGGGAGGGGAGAAGCAATGGGTGAGGGGAAAACAAGGGAGGGGCAGAGGGGGGGCAGGGAGGGAAGAAACGTGGGGCAGGGAGGGGAGAAGCCAAAGACAGGGGCATGGGCAGGCGGGGGCAGGGAGGGAGCAAAGGAGAGGCACGGAGAAAGAAAGGGAGGCGCGGGGAGGGGAGAAACCGGGCGTGGGGGGGCGGAAAATGAGGGGCAGGGCGGGGAGGAGGGAGGGGCAGGGAGGGGAGAAGCTGAGCACACGGAGGGGGGAAAGGTGGGGCAGGGAGGTAGGAAGCCAAGGGCAAGGGGGGGAGAGTGGGGGAGCAGGGAGAGGGGGGAGGTGGGGAGCGGAGAAAGGCGGCGAGGGGCAGGGAGGGGAGAAACCAAGCATAGGGGGGCGAGATACGAGGGGCAGGGTGCGGATTGAGGAGGGGCAGGGAGTGGAGTGGGTCGGCGAGGGGAAGGAAGAGGCGTGCAGCAGAGGAGGGGAGGGGGGAGGAGAAGGTAAACGAGGGGAGCGCACGGGCGGGGAGGAGCGAATGGCGGGCGGTGGGAAACGGCGAGGGGGGCAGGGAGGGTCAAAAGAGGCGGCAAGGGAGCGGGCACGCGGAGGGTGGGGGCGGGGGGGAGCGGATGGCATGAGGAGGCAGGGGGTGTGACTATGAAGGGGGGACCCGGGCAAGGGGTGTGTACCGGTCGGGGCACGGGATTGACGTGGTACGATCATACCTCGGCTACTACGCCGGATCCCATCAGAGCTCCGAAGCTAAGCGCCGGTGGGCGAGAGCAGTACTGGGCTGGGTGACCTCCCGGGAAGTCCTCGTGTTGTACCCATTTATGCCCCTTGCTCGGCACGTGCCGGGGGAGGGGCAAGCGGGAAAAAGAAAGGACGATTTTAGCGCGTCCGATTTTTTTTATTTTCGTTTTTTTTGCCCAAACAACGACTCAGCGGGGTGGGGGCCCCCCGGGGAGGCTTGCCCGTGCGAAGAAACGCCCCGTGCGCACCACCGTTGGGCGGTTGGAAGCCGCACACGGTCGCGGGGGTGGAGAGCGGAAACGGGCAGCCGGGGGAGGGTGGGGGCGGTTGGATGGGACTGGGGTGTACGGGGGGCAGGGGAGTTGAGGGGGCAAGGGGAGGGGCAGCAACGGGCAGGGGCTGGGCCAGCTGAGGGCACGGAAAAGGGGCGGGCAGAGGGTGAGCAGAGGGGCGAGCGATGCAAGGGAGGCACCATAGGGGGGAAACCAGTTGCACGGAGGTGGGAGGTGAGGGGCGTGCGAGGGGGTGGGAAAGGGGCAGGGAGGGGCGGAATGGGAGGACGTGGGTGGGGGGTGGGGGAGGGGAGTGTGCGTGTGTGTGTGAGAAAGAGAGAGAGAGAGAGAGAGAGAGAGAGAGAGAGAGAGAGGGAAAGGGAGGGGGGGAGAGAAGGGTGGGAGGGGGGCTGGTGGTGCGGATGGGCTGATGGTGGCAAGAGGGCAGCAGGGATGGGGAGAAGGGAGCGTAACGAGGGGAACGCAAAGGGCAGGGGGGGAGGAGGGGAGGGGCAGGTAGGGAAGAGGCTGAACGTACAAAGGGGGGAAACGAGGGGCATGGATGGTAGGAAACAAGGGCAGGGGTGCGGGAAATCAAGGGCAGGGAGGGGAGAAGCAATGGGTGAGGGGAAAACAAGGGAGGGGAAGAGGGGGGGCAGGGAGGGAAGAAACGTGGGGCAGGGAGGGGAGAAGCCAAAGACAGGGGCATAGGCAGGCGGGGGCAGGGAGGGAGCAAAGGAGAGGCACGGAGAAAGAAAGGGAGGCGCGGGGAGGGGAGAAACCGGGCGTGGGGGGGCGGAAAATGAGGGGCAGGGCAGGGAGGAGGGAGGGGCAGGGAGGGGAGAAGCTGAGCACACGGAGGGGGAAAAGGTGGGGCAGGGAGGTAGGAAGCCAAGGGCAAGGGGGGGAGAGTGGAGGGGCAGGGAGAGAGGGGAGGTGGGGAGCGGAGAAAGGCGGCGAGGGGCAGGGAGGGGAGAAACCAAGCATAGGGGGGCGAGATACGAGGGGCAGGGTGCGGATTGAGGAGGGGCAGGGAGTGGAGTGGGTCGGCGAGGGGAAGGAAGAGGCGTGCAGCAGAGGAGGGGAGGGGGGAGGAGAAGGTAAACGAGGGGAGCGCACGGGCGGGGAGGAGCGAATGGCGGGTGGTGGGAAACGGCGAGGGGGGCAGGGAGGGTCAAAAGAGGCGGCAAGGGAGCGGGCACGCGGAGGGTGGGGGCGGGGGGAGCGGATGGCATGAGGGGGCAGGGGGTGTGACTATGAAGGGGGGACCCGGGCAAGGGGTGTGTACCGGTCGGGGCACGGGATTGACGTGGTACGATCATACCTCGGCTACTACGCCGGATCCCATCAGAACTCCGAAGCTAAGCGCCGGTGGGCGAGAGCAGTACTGGGCTGGGTGACCTCCCGGGAAGTCCTCGTGTTGTACCCATTTATGCCCCTTGCTCGGCACGTGCCGGGGGAGGGGCAAGCGGGAAAAAGAAAGGACGATTTTAGCGCGTCCGATTTTTTTATTTTCGTTTTTTTGCCCAAACAACGACTCAGCGGGGTGGGGGCCCCCCGGGGAGGCTTGCCCGTGCGAAGAAACGCCCCGTGCGCACCACCGTTGGGCGGTTGGAAGCCGCACACGGTCGCGGGGGTGGAGAGCGGAAACGGGCAGCCGGGGGAGGGTGGGGGCGGTTGGATGGGACTGGGGTGTACGGGGGGCAGGGGAGTTGAGGGGGCAAGGGGAGGGGCAGCAACGGGCAGGGGCTGGGCCAGCTGAGGGCACGGAAAAGGGGCGGGCAGAGGGTGAGCAGAGGGGCGAGCGATGCAAGGGAGGCACCATAGGGGGGAAACCAGTTGCACGGAGGTGGGAGGTGAGGGGCGTGCGAGGGGGTGGGAAAGGGGCAGGGAGGGGCGGAATGGGAGGACGTGGGTGGGGGGTGGGGGAGGGGAGTGTGCGTGTGTGTGTGAGAAAGAGAGAGAGAGAGAGAGAGGGAAAGGGAGGGGGGGAGAGAAGGGTGGGAGGGGGGCTGGTGGTGCGGATGGGCTGATGGTGGCAAGAGGGCAGCAGGGATGGGGAGAAGGGAGCATAACGAGGGGAACGCAAAGGGCAGGGGGGGAGGAGGGGAGGGGCAGGGAGGGAAGAGGCTGAACGTACAAAGGGGGGAAACGAGGGGCATGGATGGTAGGAAACAAGGGCAGGGGTGCGGGAAATCAAGGGCAGGGAGGGGAGAAGCAATGGGTGAGGGGAAAACAAGGGAGGGGCAGAGGGGGGGCAGGGAGGGAAGAAACGTGGGGCAGGGAGGGGAGAAGCCAAAGACAGGGGCATGGGCAGGCGGGGGCAGGGAGGGAGCAAAGGAGAGGCACGGAGAAAGAAAGGGAGGCGCGGGGAGGGGAGAAACCGGGCGTGGGGGGGCGGAAAATGAGGGGCAGGGCGGGGAGGAGGGAGGGGCAGGGAGGGGAGAAGCTGAGCACACGGAGGGGGGAAAGGTGGGGCAGGGAGGTAGGAAGCCAAGGGCAAGGGGGGGAGAGTGGGGGGGCAGGGAGAGGGGGGAGGTGGGGAGCGGAGAAAGGCGGCGAGGGGCAGGGAGGGGAGAAACCAAGCATAGGGGGGCGAGATACGAGGGGCAGGGTGCGGATTGAGGAGGGGCAGGGAGTGGAGTGGGTCGGCGAGGGGAAGGAAGAGGCGTGCAGCAGAGGAGGGGAGGGGGGAGGAGAAGGTAAACGAGGGGAGCGCACGGGCGGGGAGGAGCGAATGGCGGGCGGTGGGAAACGGCGAGGGGGGCAGGGAGGGTAAAAAAAGGCGGCAAGGGTGCGGGCACGCGGAGGGTGGGGGCGGGGGGAGCGGATGGCATGAGGGGGCAGGGGGTGTGACTATGAAGGGGGGACCCGGGCAAGGGGTGTGTACCGGTCGGGGCACGGGATTGACGTGGTACGATCATACCTTGGCTACTACGCCGGATCCCATCAGAGCTCCGAAGCTAAGCGCCGGTGGGCGAGAGCAGTACTGGGCTGGGTGACCTCCCGGGAAGTCCTCGTGTTGTACCCATTTATGCCCCTTGCTCGGCACGTGCCGGGGGAGGGGCAAGCGGGAAAAAGAAAGGACGATTTTAGCGCGTCCGATTTTTTTATTTTCGTTTTTTTGCCCAAACAACGACTCAGCGGGGTGGGGGCCCCCCGGGGAGGCTTGCCCGTGCAAAGAAACGCCCCGTGCGCACCACCGTTGGGCGGTTGGAAGCCGCACACGGTCGCGGGGGTGGAGAGCGGAAACGGGCAGCCGGGGGAGGGTGGGGGCGGTTGGATGGGACTGGGGTGTACGGGGGGCAGGGGAGTTGAGGGGGCAAGGGGAGGGGCAGCAACGGGCAGGGGCTGGGCCAGCTGAGGGCACGGAAAAGGGGCGGGCAGAGGGTGAGCAGAGGGGCGAGCGATGCAAGGGAGGCACCATAGGGGGGAAACCAGTTGCACGGAGGTGGGAGTTGAGGGGCGTGCGAGGGGGTGGGAAAGGGGCAGGGAGGGGCGGAATGGGAGGACGTGGGTGGGGGGTGGGGGAGGGGAGTGTGCGTGTGTGTGTGAGAAAGAGAGAGAGAGAGAGAGAGAGAGGGAAAGGGAGGGGGGGAGAGAAGGGTGGGAGGGGGGCTGGTGGTGCGGATGGGCTGATGGTGGCAAGAGGGCAGCAGGGATGGGGAGAAGGGAGCGTAACGAGGGGAATGCAAAGGGCAGGGGGGGAGGAGGGGAGGGGCAGGGAGGGAAGAGGCTGAACGTACAAAGGGGGGAAACGAGGGGCATGGATGGTAGGAAACAAGGGCAGGGGTGCGGGAAATCAAGGGCAGGGAGGGGAGAAGCAATGGGTGAGGGGAAAACAAGGGAGGGGAAGAGGGGGGGCAGGGAGGGAAGAAACGTGGGGCAGGGAGGGGAGAAGCCAAAGACAGGGGCATAGGCAGGCGGGGGCAGGGAGGGAGCAAAGGAGAGGCACGGAGAAAGAAAGGGAGGCGCGGGGAGGGGAGAAACCGGGCGTGGGGGGGCGGAAAATGAGGGGCAGGGCAGGGAGGAGGGAGGGGCAGGGAGGGGAGAAGCTGAGCACACGGAGGGGGAAAAGGTGGGGCAGGGAGGTAGGAAGCCAAGGGCAAGGGGGGGAGAGTGGAGGGGCAGGGAGAGAGGGGAGGTGGGGAGCGGAGAAAGGCGGCGAGGGGCAGGGAGGGGAGAAACCAAGCATAGGGGGGCGAGATACGAGGGGCAGGGTGCGGATTGAGGAGGGGCAGGGAGTGGAGTGGGTCGGCGAGGGGAAGGAAGAGGCGTGCAGCAGAGGAGGGGAGGGGGGAGGAGAAGGTAAACGAGGGGAGCGCACGGGCGGGGAGGAGCGAATGGCGGGTGGTGGGAAACGGCGAGGGGGGCAGGGAGGGTCAAAAGAGGCGGCAAGGGAGCGGGCACGCGGAGGGTGGGGGCGGGGGGAGCGGATGGCATGAGGGGGCAGGGGGTGTGACTATGAAGGGGGGACCCGGGCAAGGGGTGTGTACCGGTCGGGGCACGGGATTGACGTGGTACGATCATACCTCGGCTACTACGCCGGATCCCATCAGAACTCCGAAGCTAAGCGCCGGTGGGCGAGAGCAGTTATTTATTAATAAGGGAAAGCAAATACAAGCCGATTATAATGGTTTTTCCAAGAGTGGGAAATTTTGGCATAACTAATTCGCTATGAGGACGGTATATATATCTTGTAGGAAGATGGGGAAAGAAAGAAGAAGAAGGAAGAATTAAGGAGTAAGAAGTAGTAGGAAAAAGAAAAGAGTGAGCAACACATATATACCCCGAACAACGACTCAGCGGGGTGGGGGCCCCCCGGGGAGGCTTGCCCGTGCGAAGAAACGCCCCGTGCGCACAACCGTTGGGCGGTTGGAAGCTGCACACGGTCGCGGGGGTGGAGAGCGGAAACGGGCAGCCGGGGGAGGGTGGGGGCGGTTGGATGGGACTGGGGTGTACGGGGGGCAGGGGAGTTGAGGGGGCAAGGGGAGGGGCAGCAACGGGCAGGGGCTGGGCCAGCTGAGGGCACGGAAAAGGGGCGGGCAAAGGGTGAGCAGAGGGGCGAGCGATGCAAGGGAGGCACCATAGGGGGGAAACCAGTTGCACGGAGGTGGGAGGTGAGGGGCGTGCGAGGGGGTGGGAAAGGGGCAAGGAGGGGCGGAATGGGAGGACGTGGGTGGGGGGTGGGGGAGGGGAGTGTGCGTGTGTGTGTGAGAAAGAGAGAGAGAGAGAGAGAGGGAAAGGCAGGGGGGGAGAGAAGGGTGGGAGGGGGCTGGTGGTGCGGATGGGCTGATGGTGGCAAGAGGGCAGCAGGGATGGGGAGAAGGGAGCGTAACGAGGGGAAAGCAAAGGGCAGGGGGGGAGGAGGGAAGAGGCTGAACCGGTTGGACCAACTGGCCTGTTGGTCCGATGGACCGGTTGGACCAACTGGCCTTTTGGTCCAATGGACCGGTTGGACCAACTGGCCTGTTGGTCCAATGGACCGGTTGGACCAACTAGTCTGTTGGTCAAATGGATCACTTGGACCAACTGGCCTGTTGGTCCAATGGACCTTTTGGACCAACTAGCGGTCGGTTGGTGCAAAGGCCCGGTTGGATCAACTGGCCTATTTGTCCTATGGACCGGTTGAACCAACTAGCCTGTGGGTCCAAGGGACCGGTTGGATCAACTGGCCTGTTGGTCCGATGGACCGGTTGGATCAACTATCTGTTGGTGTGATGGACCGGTTGGACCAACTAGCATGTTTTGTCCTATGGACCGGTTGGACCAACTGGCCAGTTGGTCCGATGGACCGGTTGGACCAACAGGCCTGTTGGTCGAATGAACCAGTTCGACCAACTGGCCTGTTGGTCCAATGGACCGGTTTGACCAACAGGCTTGTTGGTCCAATGGACCGGTTGGATCAACTGGCCTATTGGTCCTATGGACCGGTTGGACCAACTGGCCTGTTGGTCTGATGCACCGGTTGGACCAACTGGCCCTTTGGTCCAATGGACCGGTTGGACCAACTGGCCTGTTGGTCCAATGGACCGGTTGGACCAACCGGTTTCTTGGTCAAATGGACCGCTTGGACCAACTGGCCTGTTGGTCCGATGGACCGATCGGACCAACTGGCCAGTTGGTCTGATAGACGGGTTGGACCAACTGGCCTGTTGGTCCGATGGACCGGTTGGACCAACTGGCCTGTTGGTCCGATGGACCGGTTGGACCAACTGGCCTGTTGGTCGAATGAACCGGTTCGACCAACTGGCCTGTTGGTCCAATGGACCGGTTGGACCAACGGGCCTGTTCGTCCAATGGACCGGTTGGATCATTGGCCTGTTGGTCCAATGGACCGGTTGGACCAAGTGGCCTATTGGTCCTATGGACCAGTTGGACCAACTGGCCTGTTGGTCCGATGGACCGGTTGGACCAACTGGTCTGTTGGTCAAATGGACCGCTTTGACCAAATAGCCTGTTGGTCCAATGGACCTGTTAGACCAACTGGCGGTCTGTTGGTGCGAAGGACCGCTTCGATCAACTGGGCTATTGGTCCTATGGACCGGTTGAACCAACTGTCTTGTTGGTCCAATGGACCGGTTGGACCAACTGGCCTGTTGGTCCGATGGACCGGTTGGACCAACTGGCCTGTTGGTCCGATGGACCGGTTGGACCAACTGGCCTGTTGGTCCGATGGACCGGTTGGACCAACTGGCCTGTTGGTCCAATGGACCGGTTGGACCATTGGCCTGTTGGTCCAATGGACCGGTTGGATCAACTGGCCTCTTGGTCCGATGGACCGGTTGGACCAACTGGCCTGTTGGTCCGATGGACCGGTTGGATCAACTGGCCTGTTGGTCCAATGGACCGGTTGCATCATTGGCTTGTTAGTCCAATGGACCGGTTCGACCAAATGGCCTGTTGGTCCAATGGACTTGCTGGACAAACTCGTCTGTTGGTGAAATGGACCAGTTGGTACAATGGACCGGTTGGACCAACTGGTCGGTTTGTCCAATGGACCGGTTGGACCAACTGGCCTGTTGGTCCAATGGACTGGTTGGACCATTGGCTTGTTGGTCCATTGGACCGGTTGGATCAACTGGCCTGTTGGTCCAATGGACCGGTTGGATCAACTGGCCTGTTGGTCCAATGGACCGGTTGGATCAACTGGCCTGTTGGTCCAATGGACCGGTTGGATCAACTGGCTTGTTGGTCCATTGGACTGGTTCGATCAACTGGCCTGTGCGGAGATAACTAGTGCAACGGGAGCTAGACTGCGGGCTAGGCACTAGGCAAGAGTGATCGTAGCGTTCGTTCGTTCCTTAGTCGAAACACTGCTTGCTAGTTCACGGGGAAAATCGGCAAGAGTTTCACTAGGAAAACATGACAACAAAAGTTCAGAATGATTGCATCAACATTGGCAACACTGACTACATCAGACCTAGCAAGGCTGCTGGTCTACTGCTAGCGCAGCACGGTCGACCGCGTGCCAGCCCGACTTGGTCGACCGCGCTCCTGCAGAGCAGAGTCGCGGCTTGCCAACGTTGCCCGTCCGCGGTGTGCCAACGCTGCAGTAAGTCGGCTGCACAACGTTGCACCCGCCTGACAATGGTGCACCAGCTTCGCAGGTGCGTGCAGCTGGTTGGCGCCCAACTCCCCGTCACATGCCCAGCGCAGACACTTCACCCGTGACGGCGCCCACCAGCCACGTCGACCTCGGGATACCACCCCCGAGGTCGTCCTCGCAGACAACATCCCTGGCGACTTTCGCGCACGTCGCCTGGGTATCCTGGTTGACCGGGTATTTCGCGGTCCTCCCGCGGTTTCTTGGCCACCGCGGTCCTCCGAGGTTTCGTGGCTCCACGGTCCCCCGCGATTTCGTGGCTCCCGCGGTCCCCCGCGATTTCGTGGCTCCCACGGTCCACCGCGATTTCGTGGCTCCCACGGTCCACCGCGATTTCGTGGCTCCCACGGTCCACCGCGATTTCGTGGCTCCCACGGTCGGCTCCGCCCAAGCGAGGACGGGGCCAAACACAACTCCCGTTGACACTCCCCTGCCGCGTTCACGCTTGGGCCCCCCCCCCCGGCCCACACGGCAGTACTGCTCGGAGAATAGCCCGTCGGCGTGCACACAACGCACAGCACGCCGGTCACCGCACCAGCCATGCAAAAAGGCATGGCACCTACTGCTGCACGTCGTTGTCTCCGTCGCCCACATGGGCCAGGCGCACTTGGCCGATTGCAACGGAGCACCGGTTGAAGGCCGGGTAGTGCAGCGCCTTCGTAAGGAAGTCGGCCGGCTGCTCAGCGGTCGGGATGTACTTCAGCGAAAACTTCCCGTGCTTCGCCATGTGCTGCAGCCAGGCCTGTCGCCGTTCCATGTGCTTGAGGTTGCCCGTTAACCCCATGCCCTCGCCGACCGTGATGGCCGACTTGTTGTCCACCCTGAGGACTGTCGGCTTTCCGGCGTCCAGCCGCTGGAACTCCGCGAGGAGGAAACGAAGGCAACGTCCCTCCTTGCCGGCTTCGACGGCCGCCACGTACTCCGACTCGGTCGACGACAGCGTCGCGCACTTGATGCGCTGGCTCAACCAGGAGACCGCGGCCCCTCCGTAGACGAACACGTAGCCGCCCGTGCTCATCCGGTTCTGCTTGTCGCCCGCGTCGTCGGCGTCCACGAAGCCGACCAACTCCAGTGACTCCAGACCACCACCGTACTCCAGGGCGGTGTCTCGCGTGTTGGCGAGGTAGGCGAGGCAGCGGTCGACTTCGCGCCAGTGCTGGTCACTCCTCGCCGTAAGGCCGCTCCCCAACTTGCTGCACGCGAACGCGATGTCCGGCCTCGTCGTCGTCGCCGCGAACTGCAGCGAGCCGACCTTCTGCCGGTACTCCTCCTCCTCGCGCTCCTGCGCCTCCTCGTCGTCGAATGTCTGCTCCGCGTAGGTGCGACAGAGACCGGCGTCTTCGAAGTGCGCCTGGTCTGCTCCTCGTCGATGAAGCGCCTGCGCAGCTTGTCGGCGTAGCCCTGCTGGTGCAGCCACAGTTTTCGCGAGGCCTGCCGCGCACGATCTCCAGGCCAAGATACTTATGCACCGGCGAAATTTCGCGCAGCTCGAAAGCGGCCTCCAGCTGCTCCTTCAACTCCTTCAGCATCACGGTGCTGCTGCTCGCGGCGAGAAGGTCGTCGACATAGACCAGCACCTAGCAGGTCACCTTGTCGTCTCCGGCCTTGAAGTACAAAGCCTCCTCGACTTGGCTCTTCTTCCACCCGGCGCCAACCAACACGTCGTTGAGAGCCGTGTACCACAGCAGCGGCGACTGCTTCAGCCCATAGAGGCTCTTCAGCAGCTTGCACACCCGGCCGGTTCAATCGTTGAAGTAGTCCGGCTGGTACATGTACAGCACGCGGTCGAGCTTGCTCTGCAAAAAAGCGTTCTTCATGTCCAGCTGCATCAGGTTGAGGTCGAGGACAGCGACGATGCTGAGGAAAATCCTCAGCGTGACGTAGCTGCTCACCGGCGCATACGTCTCGTCGTAGTCAGTGCCAT